CCCGATCCGATGGACATCTTGATTTGGTCCGACTTGCCCGTTCGCTGCAGACCGATCCTGCCCTCCGGGGCCTCCTCTGGGCCACCGTCGCTCACCCGGGCGTCCGGCGGCATGCTTCTCTCACTTCGCGCCCCAGAGGTCCTGACCTCACCTCCAAGGTCCAGGTTCCCGCCCCAGGTCCGTTCTCGGCGGTCCAGGGGCCCCAGGACATGGGCCCCCGGGGCCGGCAGGCGCGGAAAAGGCGCCCAGATCAAGAGACAGCGGGCCGCAGGAGACCTGGACCTTCGGAACCCCTCCGGCCGCCCCCTTGCTCGCGCGACTACTCGGAGGGCGCACTCGCAGGGGCGGCGGCTCTCCTGGAGGCCTTGGCGGCGCTTCTCCAGTCGGCTTGCGGGGGCGAGGCCCGATACAGTCGGGCCGATGTCTGAGATCGAGGTCGGTTCGGGGAGGGTGCCCTGGTATCAGGAGGGAAAAAACACACAGACACAATCAATCGTCGATCCCCCAGAAAATATGGGAAAATATGGGAATTGGGCGGGAAGGCAAAAACCCAGAAAATATGAGAAAATATAGGGAATATTTGTATTTGTGTGTATTTATTTGTGTGTCCTTGGGCCCCTTGATAGTATTGGGTTTCTTAACAAGCGTAGGGGGGGCGTCACCCCCGCCGGCAGCCCCGCATCGACCCCCGTCGCGGGCAGCCACCGCGCGCCGAAGGCGCTCCGACCCCCGTCGCGGCGCGACGACGAGGCGAGGTTGACCCCCGTCGGGGGGGTCACGCCCCCACGCTTATCAAGAAGCTCAGGGTCGTGTTCGTCGTGTTCGTTGGATGGTCTGGTGCACCCTGGGGAAGGTGCCCTCGGATGTCCTGCGTGTTTTGGCCGGCGGAGGGTCTCGTGCTCTCGAGGGATGCTCTTTTGGCCTAGGTCTGACTGCACACGGAGGAGCATCCCGATACATCGAAGTAGATCCAAACACTTCGGGGTAATTGCATCCTTCGATGTCCACGTTGGCGCTCCAGCGCCGGTCGAGGGGCGGCAGCAGTCGGTTGGGAGCCTCGAGACGGGGGTCAATGCAAACGGGGGTCAGCCAGGGCACCAGATCCTGCAGGATCCTGCGAAGACCCCCTCTGGCTGACCCGGGTCAGCGAGCGGCTCGTGGCCGCGAGGCGGCCGCGCATATTGGCTGACCCGGGTTTGCGAAGATTTGCGTTGCATTTTTTTTTCCCCTTGCATTGCAGTTTTTGGTTTCCTGCTGACCCGGGTCTGGATTGACCCGGGTCAGAAGATCCCCGAGTCGGGAAGCCATCGGCAATCCAGGGCCACCTGCCTGGGCCCCTGCCGGCCGCCCCCCGCGCGCGCCCACCGGGCGGGTGCAGGGACGGGGTCGGGGCCGCGGCCGCAGCAGAGGAGAGGTCAGTCTCATCGGGCTGCACTGAGTCGGGCATGTTCCTCTACACGAGGAGTATTCAAAAATAGTTACAAATAGTAGTCTGGGGGCAATTTTTCCCGACTACTCCCCGCGTTTCCTCCTCCTTCTTCCTCCCTCCCCCCCTCCTCTCATCATCATCATCATCATCATCATCATCATCATCATCATCATCATCATCATCATCATCATCATCATCATCATCATCATCATCATCATCGTCATTATCCTCACCATCATCATCGTCATTATCCTCACCCTCATCCTCATCCTCATCCTCATCCTCATCATCATCATCATCATCATCATCATCATCATCATCATCATCATCATCATCATCATCATCGTCATCATCATCATCATCATCATCGTCGTCGTCGTCATCGTCATCGTCATCGTCATCGTCATTGTCATCGTCATCGTCATCGTCATCGTCGTCATCGTCATCGTCATCGTCATCGTCATCGTCATCGTCATCATCGTCATCATCATCATCATCATCATCATCATCATCATCATCATCATCATCATCATCGTCATCGTCATCGTCATCGTCATCGTCATCGTCATCGTCGTCGTCACACGTTTCGTGGCCCCATAGGAGCTCCGCCGAAGGTCCCAGTGGCGTCCCCGCCACTCATTTCGGCACACCCCTCACACGTTTCGTGTCCCCATAGGGAAACTCCGACGAAGGTCCCCGTGGCGCAGTTCGGATGCGTTCCCGCCACTCGTTTCGGCACACCCTCGCACGTTTCGTGGCCCCATAGTAGCTCCGCCGAAGGTCCCAGTGGCACATTTCGCATGCGTCCCCGCCACTCATGTCGGCACACCCTTCACACGTTTCGTGGCCCCATAGGAGCTCCGCCGAAGGTCCCAGTGGCACAGTTCGCATGCGTCCCCGCCACTCACTTCGGCACACCCCTCACACGTTTCGTGGCCCCATAGGAGCTCCGCCGAAGGTCCCAGTGGCACAGTCCGCGTGCGTCCCCGCCGCTCATTTCGGCACACCCCTCACACGTTTCGTGGCCCCATAGGAGCCCCGCAGAAGGTCTCAGTGGTACAGTTCGCATGCGTCCCCGCCACTCATTTCGGCACACCCCTCACACGTTTCGTGGCCCCATAGGAGCTCCGCCGAAGGTCCCAGTGGCACAGTCCGCATGCGTCCCCGCCACTGATTTCGGCACACCCCTCGCACGTTTCGTGGCCCTCGCATGCGTCCCCGCCACTCAGTTCGGCACACCCTCACACGTTTCGTGGCCCCATGGGAGCTCCGCCGAAGGTCCCAGTGGCACACTTCGTATGCGTCCCCGCCACTCATTTCGGCACACCCCTCACACGCTTCGTGGCCCCATAAGAGCTCCGCCGAAGGTCCCAGTGGCACAGTTCGCATGCGTCCCCGCCACTGATTTCGGCACACCCCTCACACGTTTCGTGGCCCCATAGGAGCTCCGCCGAAGGTCCCAGTGGCACAGTCCGCATGCGTCCCCGCCACTCATTTCGGCACACCCCTCACACGTTTCGTGGCCCCATAGGGAAACTCCACCGAAGGTCCCCGTGGCGCAGTCCGCATGCGTCTCTCTCACCCAGCACAGCGTTTCGTGGCCCCATATGGAGCCCACCGAAGGTCCCCGTGGCGCAGTCCGCATTGTGTTGTTTGTTTTCGTTCGCGTTGTGTACCACGCCACTCAGTTCGGCACACCCCTAGCACGGTTCGTTGCCTCATAGGGATCACCACCGAAAAAGGGAATCACAATTGCGGTACTCACACCTGCATATGGTTGGGTCCTTCGTCAGGCTATTTTTTGTTGTTGTGTGTGTGTGTGTGTGTGACTATCTTGCATCTTTCTTCCAACATCCGCCTGTAGGAGGACATGCCCGACCTGAGGCTTCACCTCCGCTGGCAGCGAAAAAGTGTCAGTGGACACTGCTCTGCACCCCGACTCCTGAATGTATTGAGACTCCTACCCTGTGCCCGAGGACGGCGCCAGCGGGAGCTGGCTCCAGGGGGGATGCATCGACCCCCCGACCGCCCATGACTCGCCATTAGGGTTATGTCGGGCGTGTCCCCCTACAGGGGGATTTTCGACGAAAAATTAGAAATACCCCAAACATGCCCCCAAAATGTGAAAAAAAACTAAAAAAATAGTCCCCAGACTATTATTGGATTATTTTTTCGTCGAAAATCCCCCTGTAGGGGGACAGGCCCGACTTAACAGTAGGGGCCTGATGGCCCACCCCGCCCAGGTCCGTACGGATTCGCTGTCGGGGATATCCGCATAGGAAGGACGGGCAACCTTCCCAAGGGGTACCCTTGCATCTTTGCCTCCTCGGTCCATCCTTGGCCGCTTTCGTTGGCCGCGCCCCGCGAGCTTCGAGACGGCCTTCCAAGGCCTTCGCATCTTTGTCGTGCATCCTGATGATGCGGGCCGACTGTATCGCCGATCTGTCGGGGATGCCTCGCCGGCTCCTCAAGCAGTGGCGAGGCGTCTTGGTCTGCCTATATACCCACCAGAGAATGTTCTAAGAGTCTTTTGTGGTTTGCACGACGTGTTCTCGTCACATTTCTGGCAGGGATTGGCTTGTTTTAGCACGTCGTCTGTTCCAAGAACATTGCTTCTGTTATTGGAACATTTTTGGGTTCTAAGATGATGTCGGGCCTGTCCCCCTACAGGGGGATTTTCGACGAAAAATAAAAAATACGCCAGGAATAGTCAAAAAATAGTCCAAAAATAGTCTGGGGACTATTTTTTGAGTATTTCTTGACCTTTTCGGGGTATTTTTTGGGTATTTTTTATTTTTCGTCGTAAATCCCCTGTAGGGGGACACGCCCGACATAATTCTAAGAACATGTTATGGTAGGCCTACCGGAATGCCGGGACGGTCGGTCCCTGCTTAACTTGTCCACAGGGGGGAGGCCGAAGCAATGGGCCCTGGGCTCCCCCTGTCCACAAGGGGGACCCCCCCGTGTCCCCCTTGTCCACGGGGGACGCCTCGGGGGAGGAGGTCACGAGCCCCCCCTTCTCCTCCTCCTCCTCCTCCTCCTCCTCCTCCTCCTCCTACTTCCCCTCCTCCTCTCCTCTCCCCTTCTCCTCTTTCCCCTGTCCTCCCTCCTCCTCCTCCTCCTCTCCTCCCCCTCCTCCTCCTCCTCCTCCTCCTCCTCCTCCTCCTCCTCCTCCTCCTCCTCCTCCTCCTCTTTCTCCTCCTCTCCTCCTCCTTCTCCCCGGGGACCCCCTCCTCCTCCTCCCCGGGACTTTTCCCCGCTACCCCCCCCGCCAGGTAAGGGATCAAAGGGAAGGGGGGCTTCCTTTCGAATCCACTGCGACGCTGTTCGACTTCCGTCCGGCTGCACCGCTTGAGAAGGAGGGCCCAGGGCAAGAGGGGGAGCGGCGACGGCGACGACAGCTCAAACGGGGTGGTCGGTCCCTGCTCGAGCTCCAGCTCGACGTCCCTAGGGTAACGAAAAATGGCATAAACATAAAAACTCGGAGGTCCGCGCGGATTTCTTGGATCCGCGCTGGGGACCCCCGGCGGCGCCTCCGGCGCCGCCCTTGGCGCGCTCCGCGCGCCAGGGAGGGGGATCCGAGAAATCCGCGCGCACCTCTGAGTTTTTATGCTTATGTCACTTTTTGTTCCCCTAGGGATGGCCGGTCCCTGCTCGAGCTCCAGCTCGACGTCCCCCCCCCGAGGGAGGGGTCGGCCGTCGCTCCCGTCTCGCACCTTCGTCTTCATCCTCCTCCTCCTCCTCCTCCTCCTCCTTCTCTCCTCCTTTTCCTCCTGCTCCTCCCTCCTCCTCCTTCCCCCCCCCTCCGCCTCCTCCTCCTCCTCCTCCTCCTCTCCTCCTCCTCCTCCTCCCCTCCACCTCCATCTCCTCCTCCCAGCTCGTCGTCCCCCCCCCCCCCCCCGAGACGGTCCCCAGCCCTCACGCTGCCCCCCCCCGCAGGGCACGGGGAGCGGGGGCGACGGCGGGGCCACGGCGGGGCCCCGCCGTCGCCCCGCGCGCGGAGAGCGGGCCCGTGCCCGCGGCGTGGCGCAGCCGGGCGGGGACACGCACAGACACGACGAGTCGTCGGCCCGAGAGGAGGAGGAGGAGGAGGAGAAGAAGGAGGAGGAGGAGGAGGAGGAGGAGGAAGAGGAGGAGGAGGAGGCGGAGGAGGAGGAGGAGGAGGAGGAGGCGGAGGAGGAGGAGGAGGAGGACGCGGAGGAGGAGGAGGAGGTGGAGGAGGAGGAGGAGGAGCAGGAGGAGGAGGCGGAGGCGGAGGCGTGACGCAGTCATTTTTGCGTCGGCGGCTAGGCAGGGGACGTCTGCGCTGGCGATGGGTCAGGCCTAAACGGGGTTACCGTTAGAGCGAATTGTGCCACCATGCAAGAGGAGCAGGAGGGGGGAGGCGCGGCCGAAAAAGGGGAGGTCGGAGCGAGCTGCTCAGGTGGGGGCTGACCGCTCCCCGAGCGAGCGGCGCGGGCGGTCCCCCCAGCGAGTCCGCGGCGGCTGCTGCGTCAGCGGGCCAGCGGCGGCGGGGGAACAAGGACACACAGACGCAACGAAGCGTCGACCCCCCGGGAAAAGATGGGGACGTGTGGGGAGTGAGGGGGGAAGGCTGGGCACCCAGAAAAGACGTGGACAGACAGGGGCAGTCCTGGGACTTGTGCCCATCCACTCGTGCGTCCCAGGGCCCCCTCACACGGTTTGGAGGGGTGCAGGACGGAGGGTGCGCCCTCGGAGCGCCTGCTGGACGCGGCGTGGCAGCCTCGGGGCCCCTCGGGGCCACTTCGACCCGACCGATCCGATCCGCCGGTTCGGTTCCGGCCGGCCCGATCCGGCTCGGTGCCAGGTCGCTCTTGCCTGGGGCCCAGGGTCCCTCCTGTGTGTGGCCGACACAGGCGGGAGGGGTGCAGACGGAGGCTGCGCCCTCGGAGCGCCTGCAGGACGCGGGGTGGCAGCCCCGGGGGGCCTCTCGGGGCCCCCTTCGACCCGACCGATCCCATTCGATGTCGGTGGCCGAGGTCCAGACCGCCAGGGCGTGGACGCAGAGACGCGCGCCGCTTGCCAGCCCCCCCCCCCGCCAGGAGCAGCTCGCACGACCGCGCCCCGGCGCCGCGGCCGCCCCCGGCCGAGCGCCAGACGACGTCGCGCCCGCCGCCGGCCAGGCCACCCAGGCGCGCGGCCGCACGCGCCTTCGATCCAGTCGGGCCGAGGCATCATATCGAGATAGGTTCGGGGAGCGTGTCGGGGGCGGACAGACCCCCCAACAGTGACACGTCAACTAGTGAATTGTCCGTTTTCGGTTCTCGAGAGGGTGCCGCGGCGGTTATTTTCCAGGCTTGCGCCCGCCAGGTTTGGGCCTCAGGTCGTTTTCGCTAAACCACGTTTTACTAAAGGGGGGTCTGTCCATCCCCGAGAGTACCCTCATGTTCTTCGTGCTTGTTGGATGTTCTTGTGCATCCTGAGGAGGGTCACCTTGGAAGTTCTGTGCGTTTTGGCCGGCGGAGGGTCTCGTGTTGTTGAAGGATGTTCTTCTGTCCTAGGTTTGATTGTAAATGGGGTCGGAGGATTGTGCCGCATCGCCGATGCATCGGCGATGCGGCTCGATGTGGGGCCCGATTCTATTTCTGCAGACGTCGCGGATGTGTCGCCGTCGTCGTCGATACATCGCCAATGCATCGGCGATGTTTTGGCGATGCGGCGCGATCCTCTGACCCCATCTACTCGGACCCCATCCAGGAGGCCTCTTTTCCAACGCCGTCCCCGGACCCCCCCCCGCGTCGTGGGCATGTGCATATTTGTTTGTATCTATACATATATGTACATATACTTACATACACACATACACACATGCATACATACAAACATACCGCACACATACATACATATACACACATACATCCATACACACATACATACATACATGCATGCATACAAACATACAACAATGCACACATACATGCACATACATACATACATGCATACATACATGCATCCATACAAACATACATTCATGCATTTATACATACATACAAACACACATATTCATGCATACATTCACATACATACACATACGCATACACATACACATACACATACACATACACATACACATACACATACACATACACATACACATATACATACACATACACATACACATACACATACACACATACACATACACATACAAATACACATGCACATGCACATACCCATACACATACACATACACATGCTCACATACACATACACATACACATATGCATACATGTACACACATGCGCATACACATACACATACACATACACATGCACATACACATACATACATACACACATACGTACACACATACATACACACATACACGAGGACACACATACATACATACACACATACATACATACATATATTCATTTGTACATGCATATATACATACACATACATGCAACTACACACACACATATAAATCCATCCATACATACATGAATACACATATACCTACACATATACAAACACATCCATACATACACATATACATATACATATACATATACATATGCACATACATCTACATACACATGTACACATACACATACGTATACATTTACATATCCACATACCTATACATATACATACACATATACATATGCATATACACATACACATACATATACACATGCATATACATATACATTTGCACACGCATATGCATACACATTTACACAAACACATACATGTACATATACATTCATACGCATAGACTTATACAAATGCATATGCACATCTATATATATATGTATCTATCTATCTATCTATCTATCTCTATATATATATATAAAAGCAGTTTCATATAACTATATCTACATCTGCATATACACATCCATACACATTGCATATACATATACATATACATGAACATTTCCACATACATTTACATACATGCACGTATGCATGCCCATATGTATAATCATATGCATATACATATACATATACGGCATATACATATACATATACATATACATTTACATTTACATATACATATACATATACAAATACGTCTACATGCACATACACATACCCATATACATTTACATTTACATTTACATTTACATATACATATACACATACATATACGTATACAGATACATATACATATACATATACATATACATGTTCATATACATATACATATACATATACATATACATATACATATACATGTACACATACATATACATATACATATACATATACATATACATATACATATACACATACACATACACATACACATACATATACATATACCTATACCTATATATATACAGATACACATATATATGTATACATATACACATACATATGCATATACATATACATATACAAATACATATACACATAAGTTTACACATACATATACATATACGTCTACATTTACATATCCACATACATATACATATACATATACACATGCATATACAATATACATATACATATACATATACATATAACATATACATATACATATACATATACATATGCATATACATATACATATACATATACATATACATATACATATACATATACATATACATATACATATACATATACATATACATATACATATACATATACATATGAATATACATATACATATACATACACATATACATATACATATACATATACATATACATATACATATACATATACATATACATACACATATACATATACACGTACATGTACCTGTACATGTACATGTACATATACATATGCATATACATATACATATACATATACATATACATATACATATACATATACATATACATATACATATACACATACATATACGCACACATATACACATGCATATACATATACGTTTACACGTACTTATACCAGATGCGTATACATATACATTTACATGCACATACACATACACATACACATACACATACACACATACATACACATATACATACATACATACAGATCGCGTTCAGTGGTCGCTTGGAGGGGGGTAGTTCGGAACCAGACCCCCCCCTATTCCCCTCCCCCTCCTTTTCCTCTCTCCCTCTTTTCGGGCCGGCGCTTGCGTCGGCGGCGGCTGGCGGCGGCGGCGGGACGACGACTTCCTTTTCTGGCCCGGCGCTGGCGCCTGCGGCGGGCGGGCGGCGGCGGCGGGGAGCGTCGACGAGGACGACGGCGACGATGATGACCACGACGACAAAGCTCCGCCACCTTGCCTAGGTCTTGGGTCAGAGTCTTCATGGATGCCTCTTGGGGTCTCGTCGGAGGGCTCTCGGGGGCCTCTGAATGGCCTTTGTGAAGCCTCCTGGGCGCCTCTTGGGTGTCTCTAAGGGCCTCTCTCAGGTGGTGGTGGTGGTGGGCTGTGGTGGAGGTGGTGGTGGTGGTGGTGGTTGTGGCGGTGGTGGTGGTGGTGGTGGTGGTGGTGGGGTGGTGGTTGGTGGTGGCGGTGGTGGTGGTTGGTGGTGGCGGTTGTGGTGGCAAGTTGTGGTCGTGGTCGTGGTGGTGGCGGTGTTGGTGGTGCTGCTGTGTTTTCTTGTGCAGGTGGTGGTA